CGTCCGTCGGCCCGTCTGTCTGTCCAGGTTAAATTGTAAACAAAGTACAAGTCGCATTTATGATCCGATTTGGATGAAATTCATATGTTTGGCCCAAGGACGATAGGCACACAATTTTGAGCAACATACTGAAGTTAATATAGCCTAACGTGTGAGAAGTTTCGTCGATTTTAAGTAAATGACGCATCATGGACCCAAAAGTATGGCCGATATGCACAAACGTACTGAAGTTAGTATAAATTAAATTGTTGAAATCGGTTCGGGTTTGGATATATATTCCATATGTATATTCGCCCGATTTCAAGTAAATGATTCACAAAATTCCTAATGCTTATCAGATTGACATGAAATTTTTCACAACGTACAAAATTGAGCATAGAATGACTTAATTGCGTTTTGTAGAAATGCAGACATAGCTTATATATACAGGGTGAGATAAAAAAATGCAACAAAGTCAAACGCCATAATTTTTACATTATTTTAAATTTTATTGAATTAATGCAAAAAATGTAGCATCAAATTTTAGTATAAGTTTAGATTTGTTCGAATTGGTCACCTTTGACACGAATTATGGCCTTAGGTATTTTTAAGTGCCAACATTATATTCAAAAATACTCCAGACACAATTGTCCAACGGATTGATATAAGGAGATTTTGATGGCCACTGTGCGCTGGAAATGAAGCGAGGAACCTAAATTGAAACACAACTTCTTTAATTTTGATTTAACACATAATTTTTATTTATTTTTCAAATGTACAACATATTCCTTTAAACTCCAAGCTTGAACTAAACTCAAAAGTAGAATGTAATTGATATTTAAAACATAATTTCTTACAACTAAACATTAAATGTAACGGTTTATTTAAAAATAGAAATGATAACAACAAATTTAATTGGGTTAGAGAAAGGGAAAAGTAATGAAGACAAATAAAAAGATAATTAAGAATAAAGGAATAACAATAACGCCGCGAAATATTATTCCTAGACCCACCCTTATGTATACCGATCGTCATATCTCGACTAGCTGAGTCGATCTAGACATGTGTGTCCGTCCGTCCGTCTGTCCATTATAATTTGTGAACACGATACAGGCCACAGTTATGGACCAATCTTCACGAAATTTTGCATGTAGGTTGGGTTCTGGCCAATGAAGAACCCTATTGTTTTTGCTGGAGATCGCTTAATATTTAGGGGAAGAAATGGACCAAATACAAAATTTTTGTCGGTTTTTCTGGTCGCTCCAGAGGCCGCAATTATGATCCGAACATCGCGAAATTTTACATGGAAAAGGGGATCGGGCCAAAGAATAAGCATGCCTGTTTTGTTAGGGGGTCAAAGGAACCCTGACTTTTGTGTGAAAAATTACAAAATTTGTATTATATAGCGTATATATTTACTCCTGAAGGACATAGACCCGAGAAGTTGATAATATATCCAAGAGGAGAGGTTGGCCTTTAAATTGATACCAATTATGTTGTTGTATGTACTCGGATGGTGGAGTTACACGTATATTTTTTCAGGTGCTTACGTATTCAGATATTATTTAGTAAACCATTACCACACTGGAGGGCGGAAATATAGAGCTGATTGCTTTGATAGGTTCCATGAGGTTCCAGTTATGGTCAAGGACAACGCCTATAATTTTCGGCGATGATGAGATAATAATTTTGGGATGAAGTGGACCGAAAACTTAATTTTTTGAGTTTTTCGAGTCGATCTATAGTCCACAATTTAAAGCCGAACATCACAACACAACCCACGGTGACGGGAATCTGGACAAGTAATTAGAAGGGCTGTACTGCATATAAGTAATATTTGTTGACCTCTAGTCAATGAAGAGGGTGCAAATATCGCGAAATAGTGTCCATGCTCAGAATATAGAACCAAAGAAAGTTAGATTTTCGTCGATGTTGTGTAGGGTATCATATGGTCGGCCCCGTCCGACTATACTGCTCCGCTCACGTGTGACGACCAAAAATCGTGGCACTCAATTTTGCCCACACCTAGCGTTGTTATTTATTCTTTAATAAATAAATAAATATTCTAAAACCCAACTTTCTCATTTAAAAAGAAAACAACAAAATACAAGGGGTTACCGTTAGTCTCACACATCATAGCCATTGGTTGTGATGATCACAGCCAATGTTGTTGTGACAAGTTGATCAAAACAAGTTCCCGTTATCCCACGCTAGAACACGTGGTTGGGGCTTGCTATAAAAGGGAGATCAACGAGTGAGAAGGAACAGTTAGTGCCAGACAACGACAGAAGACACATCCAACCCAGGTGAGTGATACATTGTATGATAATTCTGATAGCCGTCCTAGGGTACTTATCCAGGTCCCTATTCCCAAAGAAATCCTTCCGTATCCTTGCTTGAGTACTTATCCAGGTCTCTTGCAGTATAATCCTTGCCTAAGTAGAATCCTTGCGTATCCTTGAATAAGTAGAATCTTTGCGTATCCTTGCCTAAGTAGAATCTTTGCGTATCCTTGCCTAAGTAGAATCCTTTCGTATCCTTGCCTGAGTACTTATTAAGGTCTCTCGCAGTAGAATCCTTCCGTATCCTTGCTTGAGTACTTTCTAAGGTCTCTTGCCGTAGAATCCTTTCGTATCCTTGCTTGAGTACTTATTAAGGTCTCTTGCAGTAGAATCCTTATGTATCCTTGCCTGAGTACTTATTAAGGTCTCTCTTGCTTATTAAGGTCTCTTGCAGTAGAATCCTTATCCGTATCCTTGCTTGAGTACTTACTTAGGTCTCTTAAGAATCCTTACGTATCCTTGTGAGTACTTAAGGTCTCTCGCAGTAGAATCCTTTCGTATCCTTCCTTGAGTACTTATTAAGGTCTCTCGCAGTAGAATCCTCCCGTATCCTAGCTTGATTAGTTACTAAGGTATCTTGCCGTAGAATTATTTGCGTATCCTTGCTTGAGTACTTATTAAGGTCTCTTGCAGTAGAATCCTTTCGTATCCTTGCTTGAGTAGTAGAATCCTTACGTATCCTTGCCTGAGTACTTATCTAAGGTCTCTTGCAGCAGAATCCTTTTATATCCTTGCTTGAGTACTTATTAAGGTCTTTCGCAGTAGAATCCTTTCGTATCCTTGCTTGAGTACTTACTAAGGTCTCTTGCCGTAGAATCCTTTCGTATCCTTGCTTGAGTACTTATTAAGGTCTCTTGCCATAGAATCCTTTCGTACCCTTAAGGTCTCTTGCAGTAGAATCTTTACGTATCCTCGCCTGAGTACTTATCGAGGTCTCTCGCAGTAGAATCCTTACGTATCCTCGCCTGAGTACTTATCGAGGTCTCTCGCAGTAGAATCCGTGCGTATCCCCTAGCTTATTTCCCCATTAGACCTACGTAACTGGAAAATCCGAATCCCAGTGAGAGTATCCTGTTGTGAGAGTACTTACCCAGGTCTCCAACTCCCAGTATCCCAGTCCAGGTCTCCATTTCGAAGGACGACAAAAGTTACCCACCTAACCTCGGACAGACGTCATCCCAGTAGTATTAAGCAGCATCTAAGTTTACTTTGTATATACCTCTATTGCGTACGAAATAAACATTATAGAACGTAAAACACTCTTTCTCTCTCGCAAACAAACAAATTTTCTGTTACGAAACGTGGCCCCGGCGAGCTTACTCCAGCCTAAGGGGAAACCTGTCGTTACAGTGGCGCCCGAGCAGGGACTGCAAACAATCGCGGAACAAGTACGGAAGTAAGGACGATTAAAATAAGTACCTCGACGAGTTTACCTGTGATACAGATGGAACGGTTGAAGAACAACGAAAGCGATTCGCGATGTACATAGCACAATACCACCCCCGGAGATTATGAAAAGACTGTTAGAAATCTAAGCTATACACGAGAGGGACACGAAGGTGGCGACGCCAAGGAAACTGAGTGCAGAAACAGATGGCGAAGAGGCAACTCGGATAGAAGTACCAATGCTCGGGGCAAGAAAACACCAGACGTGCAAACAATCGCGGAACAAGTACGGAAGTGGGGCATAAGCTTCACCGGTGAAGATAAACCCTTGGAATTCGTTGAGAGATTGGAAGAAATGGCGGAGATGTACCAGATCCCTAACGGTAATCTGATCACCGTAATGCCAGAAGTGCTTCATGGTGGGCATTGATGTGGTTCCGGAACAACCGAAAACCCAGGCGATCCTGGGAGGAATTTCGAAAGGATTTCTTGAAATTCTTCCTCCCTCCGAGGTTTATGGAGAACTTGGAGAACGAAATCCGGCAACGAAGACAGAAGCCGCCTGAACTGTTCAAGGACTACATGCTAGCGATTCAAGACCTAATGAGACACACTAGTTACAACGAGTAGCAGAAAATGGAAAGAATTTTTAAGAATGCCTTACCGGAATACTTGTGGTACATCAGACGGAGGGACTTCACCAACCTGGCGGGCCTCTTAGAGATGGCCGAGGACTTAGAGGATATCCCGACCATGCCAACCGTTGCCAGAGACCACCACCACCGAATTGAGTCACGAAGCTCAGAGAGTATGCGTGAGGTACCGATCAACACAGCCACGGCTTGTCGAAGATGCGGCCAGGAGGGCCATTTCGCAGCCGGATGCCGCAATCCACAGAAGCTCTTCTGCTGGGAGTGTGGTCGGAGAGGCATTCGGACGATACAGTGCTGTCGAAAGCGATCGGGAAACGAGCATCGAGTCCGCATGGAGGTAGAGAATGTGGGCTCGCAGACACCCACTCCAACTCAGGAGGAACATCGCTCTACAGTACCGCCTCACGCATAATTGCAGAAATAATAATTCACGGTCGGCGTTGCCTGGCCACCGTCGACCCAGGGGCAACCAGGAGCTTCATCAGTGAGACGTTCGCCCAGACAATCGATCCCCAAACCATACAGAGAACACAGGATATAACGATCGGGTTGGCAGATGGGTCACAACGGAGAGTTCAGCATTTTGTGGTTACCGATCTAATCTTTGGACAATGAAAATGGAATTCCTGATTATGCCACACGCCAGCGAAGATATAATCTTGGGGATGGATTTTCTCCAACGGAGCAGGACTAAAATACTTTGTGCTGGGTTAAGCTGTGTCATACCGTGTACCGAAGAAACAGAGAAAACAATCGAAAAGCATCTACACCTGACGGTAACCACGCACCAACCACCGGAATCCGAGAAAGACGACGGCACAAACACGATAAACCCGGGATTGCAAGAAACTACCTTGTCACCCACGGTAAGTGTGCTAAGCCCCACTGACCAAGAAAGGATAAACGCTTTCCTCAACGAAGAACTAAGCAAATTTCAGGAGCTGCACGGATTCTCTACAGTCGCTTCTCACCGAATTGTCATGAACGACGATAGGCCATTCAAACTGCGGTATGCAGCAAGGAACCCAGCAATGCAGGCCATCGTCCAGGAAAAGGTAAATGAACTCCTTAGTAAGGGATTTATAGAACCTTCACGTAGTCCGTACAACTCACCAATTACATTGGCTCGGAAGAAGAACGGTACTTGGAGACTGTGTATGGATTTTCGCCATTTAAACAGTAAGTCCGATCCCGATGCGTACCCCTTACCGCGGATCTCGTCCATTCTCGACCGACTCAGGGAGGCGAATTTTGTCAGTAGCCTCGACTTAAAGGATGGATATTGGCAGATACCATTGGAAGAGACTAGCAGAAAGTACACGGCATTCACTGTACCCGGGCGAGGGTTATACCAATGGCGGGTGATGCCTTTTGGACTGCATTCCGCCCCCGCTACATTCCAACGTGCCCTCGACACAGTAATAGGCGCTGACATGGAACCACACGCATTCGCCTATTTAGATGACATCATTGTCATAGGTAAAACATTAGAAGAACATTTGGAAAATTTAAGAGAGGTGTTCCGAAGACTACGAAGGGTGAATCTGCGCATAAACCCAGAAAAATGCGACTTTTTCAAGAAAGAGACCAAATACCTCGGCCACGTCGTTAGCGCCCAAGGCATCCACACGGACCCAGATAAGGTTGCGGCCATTCGTGAACTGCCAACCCCCACCTGCCTAAAAGAACTCCGCCGGTTTTTAGGAGTAGTGTCGTGGTACCGCAGATTTGTTCCTGATTTTGCAACCTTAGCATACCCTCTCACCTCTATGTTGAAAAAAGGAAAGCATTGGCGTTGGACCGAGAACCAGCAAACTGTTTTTGAAATACTGAAGCTTCGTCTGACAGAAGCACCGGTATTAGCTTGCCCGGATTTTTCAAAACCTTTTTCACTACAAACAGATGCTAGTGACTACGGGCTAGGGGCGGTATTAACGCAAGTCCTCGAAGGCACGGAGAGAGTCATTGCGTACGCTAGTAGGGTCCTAATTGGAGCAGAGAGAAATTACTCCGCAACTGAGAAGGAATGTCTAGCCATAGTTTGGGGTATTAGGAAGATGCGCCCCTATTTGGAAGGTTATCACTTCAATGTTATAACCGACCATCTATCCTTGAAGTGGCTCAACTCCATCGATAACCCTACAGGCAGGTTGGCACGCTGGGCCCTCGAGCTACAACAATACACTTTTTCGATTCAATACAGGAAGGGTCGCTGTAATGTCGTAGCAGGTGCATTGTCGCGGCAACCGGTGGAATATCTCCAAAGGGCAAAAATAGAGTACAGCGGATGCCCGTGGATAACGAAGAAGATAGAAGGTATGAGAACGAACCCGGAGAAATTTGCAGATTATGCGCTGGTAAATCAGCAACTGTTCAGGCATATTGCAGGGAACTCACACGACGAAGATTGCGCCCCATGGAAACTTTGTGTGCCTGAACCCCACAGAAATCGAGTACTACAGGAAAATCATAGCCAAGCGTCCGCAGGTCATATGGGAATACGCAAAACTATCAACCGCATATGCAGCAGATATTACTGGCCGGGAATGACAAGGGACATCACCAGATTTGTTCGGAGTTGTGAATCCTGTCAACGCTATAAACCGTACCAGGTCGCTCCGGCAGGAGAAATGCTGGTGTCGGTTCCAGAGGAGCCATGGGCCACCGTTTGTACGGATTACGTAGGTCCCTTACCACGAACTAGACATGGCAACACGATGCTCCTGGTTTTCTTCGATCGTTTCTCCAAATGGGTGGAACTGATACCACAGAGAAAAGCGACTGCGGAAGGGGTAGTGAAGGCGTTCCGTGAAAGAATCCTTGCTCGCTTTGGAACCCCAAAAATCCTTATATCGGACAACGGCAGTCAATTTACCAGCAGAGTTGTTAGGAAATACTTGGATGAAATCGGAGTGCACCACCAGCTAACCGCACCATATTGCCCACAAGAAAATCCGACCGAAAGAGCCAATAGAACGGTGAAGACAATGATTGCTCAGGTATGCCGGAATAAGCACAATCGGTGGGACGACTTCTTACCGGAAATATCCCTGGCGATAAATACGGCGACTTCTGAGTCGACCGGATATAGTCCTGCTTATTTAGTACAAGGCCGCGAACCTAGATTGCCAAAAGCACTCTACGACGAAGCTGTCCCTGGTACAGGATACACCCCCAAAACCCCTGAGGAGAGAGCGAACGACTTACAAGAAGTTTTTAAAATAGTCCGGAACCAACTCAGTCTGGCGGCTGAGGAACAGCGACGGCACTATAACCTTCGTCGGCGGCCCTGGAAACCGGTAGTTGGGGAGAAGGTACTAGTAAAGCAGCACCCGCAGTCCAAAGCAATTGAGCAGTTTGCTGCTAAGCTGGCACCAAAATACGATGGGCCATTCGAAGTGATAGAATTCGTGTCGCCAGTAATAGTTAGAATACAAGGACCCGACAAACGTTCGACCCGTGTTGCCCATCTTAGTGAACTCAAACCGTTTGTGATAAACTAACGTTTTCCCATTTTTCTTTGTCATCTACAGATTTAACCATGAAAACCAAGGCAGCACAAAAGCAGGGTGGTGATTGGCCAATCACCAAAGTTTGCGAGGTCCGCTTGAACCGCTTAACACCCCAGGACATTCTCCAAATAATGAGAGAATTAAAGGCACAGCCATACCCGAGGCCAAACGAAGTATCCCGAGCCCTCGAGATTTTACGCAGCCGAGGGATCACCGCCGAGCTCGCTGCACCGGAGGTGGTGTATATTTCCTCGGATGACGAGCAGAATACCCCGCCAAGGCCAGTGAGAGAGAGGAGCTCCAGACCAAGCACCCCGTCCCCTGTGGTTTCGCCACAGTCTGAACAAGGAAGTCGGTGTGCAACAACACCCCATGACGATTGGGGTTGGTTGCTGGCGAGCCCGGTTCCTGCTAAACCAAATGGGCTCCCTATAACCCCCGGCCGCGGCATGCAGGCTAACTCACCTAGCGGGCCCTCGTTTGGAAGTACAATCGTCGGAAGTCCAGGGAGTGATGTTGCCTACCTCCAGCAAATATTGGAAGTGGACCCAAAACCGGAATACCCCAGACCGTTGGCTGTTCCGGAAGCAATGGTAGGCACGAAAGATAAACCGAAGTTGAAGAGTGTGGTGGTCGTACCAAAGGCAGCAGAGAAGAGGGTGGAGTTCGTCTGCGCAAGAGCGCTATCTCCGGATACGGACAGAGAACTTCAGCCGCACTTGGAAGCAGCCTTAGCGCTACATCGACCAGGCAACCAGTATAAGAGAGTCGTGGAAGTTCGCGGAAAGAGGTTGCGGATATTGGTTGGCAGGAAGGGCAATGTGACGGTCATTCCTCGCGGTCAAGAGGACCCCACCCCAGGGAAGGGGGAAGTGTGACGACCAAAAAGTCGTTGCACTCATTTTTGCCCACACCATGTATTTTTCTGTTGTTTAATAAATAAGAAAATATTCTAAAATCCCTGCATTCTTCTTTGTCTCGGTCAAAAGAAAACAACAAAATACAAAGGGTTACAGTTATTCTCCCGCATCACAGCCATTGGTTGTGATGATCACAGCCAATGTTGTTGTGACAAGTTGATCAAAACAAGTTCCCGTTATCCCACGCTAGAACACGTGGTTGGGGCTTGCTATAAAAGGGAGATCAACGAGTGAGAAGGGACAGTCAGTGCCGGACAACGACAGAAGACACATCCATCCCAGGTGAGTGATACATTGTAGGAATAATTCTAATAGCCGTATAATACCTAGGGTAGATCCAGGTCCCTATTCCCAAAGAATCCTTCCGTATCCTTGCTTGAGTACTTATCCAGGTCTCTTGCAGTATAATCCTTGCCTAATAAGTAGAATCTTGCCGTGAGAATTAAGGTCTCTTGCCAGTAGAATCCTTTCGTATCCTTGCTTGAGTACCTAAGGTCTCTCGCAGTAGAATCCTTTCGTATCCTTGCTTGAGTACTTATTAAGGTCTCTTGCCGTAGAATCCTTTTGTATCCTTGCTTGAGTACTTATTAAGGTCTCTTGCCGTAGAATCCTTTTGTATCCTTGCTTGAGTACTTATTAAGGTCTCTTGCCGTAGAATCCTTTTGTATCCTTGCTTGAGTACTTATTAAGGTCTCTTGCAGTAGAATCCTTACGTATCCTTGCTTGAGTACTTATTAAGGTCTCTCGCAGTAGAATCCTTTCGTATCCTTGCTTGAGTACTTATTAAGGTCTCTCGCAGTAGAATCCTTTCGTATCCTTGCTTGAGTACTTACTAAGGTCTCTTGCCGTAGAATCCTTTCGTATCCTTGCTTGAGTACTTATTAAGGTCTCCGCAGTAGAATCCTTTCGTATCCTTGCTTCGATCCTTGCTTGAGTACTTTTTAAGGTCTCTCGCAGTAGAATCCTTTCGTATCCTTGCTTGAGTACTTATTAAGGTCTCTTGCCGTAGAATCCTTACGTATCCTTGCTTGAGTACTTATTAAGGTCTCTTGCCGTTGAATCCTTACGTAGCCTTGCTTGAGTACTTATTAAGGTCTCTTGCCGTAGAATCCTTTCGTATCCTTGCTTGAGTACTTATTAAGGTCTCTTGCAGTAGAATCCTTACGTATCCTTGCCTGAGTACTTATTAAGGTCTCTCGCAGTAGAATCCTTTCGTATCCTTGCTTGAATACTTATTAAGCAGTAGAACTCCGTGTGTATCCCCTAGCTTATTTCCTTGCCTAGACGTATCCTTGCTTAAGTACTGGAAGGTCTCTTGCCGTAGAATCCTTACGTATCCTTGCTTGAGTACTTATTAAGGTCTCCCAGTATCCCAGTCCATTCCCCACCAGGAGTACTTATCCAGGTCTCTCCATTTCGAAGGACGGCAAAAGTTACCCACCTAACCTCGGACAGACGTCATCCCTGAGTAGTTATTAAGCAAGATCTAAGTTTACTTTGTAAATACCTCTATTGCGTACAAAATAAACATTATAGAACGTAAAACACTCGTCTTTCTCTTTCTCTCTCGCACACAAACAAATTTTCTGTTACGAACCGTGGCCCCGGCGAGCTTACTCCAGCCTAAGGGGAAACCTGTCGTTACACGGTTAACGTTAATGAATGTAATATATTGGGCACTACTTGTTGTCCTTTATTTTTTAGAGGTTCAAGCATGTTTATCATCACATAGAAGCGAATATCAAAGTACCATAAAGTCTAAGTTGATGCTGTTATCAGTTAAAAAGCTTTCTGACATGCTTCAATGTCACGTTGGGGATATTGAACTCCTAAGGTAATCATCCTTCAGCATATTATATTCAAATTTAAAGTTATTTATTTCACTTCCGACCCCATTGTGTCCGTATTTAAGTTAATTTTTGTTCGAAACGTTAATTAGATTTTGTTTCTCTTCATTTTAACCACATCTGCACTTTCACTTCGATGTGTGCTATAACAATAAACTAACCTGGCAAAAAGGAATTTCGCAAAACTACTGAACTATTAAAGCTAAAGCGCAAAGAAGTTTTCTACTGCTATGAAGTTATATTTGTTGTTTTCTCATTCGCTATTATGGTGTTCGTGATATCCCTTGCAAAATGTTTTTCCAAACCTTTCAAAAGAAGAAACTTTTTCCTTTAACAATGTATTAGCATACTTACACGACTGTTTTAGGGGAGTTGCGTACCATAACTCAATTGTCTTAATTACTGAGGTTAAGAGTTAATTTGAGCCATTTGAGACGGACATATCATAAGAGAAGGGCAGAAGTTGTGCGAATGTACAAGGATATGCCATGAGGGTCGGGCTAATATTGCAGGTTGCAGTAATTTAAGGTTGTTCTCGAAAGTGAGGAGAAATTCTGCTTCAATTTAAGACAATCGAAAAGAATAAAAGAAGTAAAACAACTTTTAACATACTTTGATTAAAGTCTTGGGTTAACGGAATGGCATGTGAGTTGTTGGTTTTATAGGAATGGAATCGTAGGTACAAAGAGGTATTTGACTACAAATAACGTCTGCCAAATATAAAGACAACACCCATAGGTAAAATTTAAGGAATTTAGAAAAAATAATAAGAAAGTAGTTAACATCAATCGGACTACCTTTTTATAAACTCCTCCACGTGGTGAGCATTTCAAATTATTTATATTAGTCTGCATTATGTGGTAGTACAGTAAGTGATGCAAATGCGGTATAGGTTGGTAATGTGGTATAGTCACTTTTTTGTAAACTGAAAATTTTAGAATAACTGAAACACGTCTATAGTTTGCTATTCTCGAAAAAATAAGATACCAACCAGTAAGGAAATTAGTAAAGTCGGACGGGGCCGACTATATGATACCCTTCACCACTTTGGGTATATTCAACAGATAAATCCTAACAGAAGTCGCATTTTTGAAGGACCAGTAAAATGAAATTGGATCCATAAACATGTCATTTTGCAACCTATACTAAATTTTTTATTACATAAAATTATGTAAATCAATTTAAAGCAAATATCAATCGGACAACCTTTGATTATTTGAATAAATATCTGATAAACATGAGGAGTTTGGTGTACCATTTACTTAAAATCAGACGAAAATATATATAAAAGCTATATCAAAATCCAAACCTATTTCATCGAAACTTGTCAGAGGTTTTGAGTTCTTACTCAAGAGAAAATATATATGGTAGCTCTAACAAAATTTTAGCTGATTTCAACAACAACTTCCACATGCTAGGTTATATTAACTTCAGTACGTTGTGTCAATCGGCCTAATGTTGGGACTTTGGTGTACCATCTAACTAAAATCGGACGAAACTATATATAGGTGCTATATCAAAATTGGAATAGATCACTACAAAACTTGGGAAACGTTAGGCAATATTAATTTTAGTACGTTGTGCAAAATTTTGTACCAAACTTTGGGTCTTTTGTGCACCTTTTACTTAAAATCGGACGAAACTATATCTAAATCTGAACCGATTTCAATAAAACTTGTCACACTTTATGTTATATTATCTTCCGTACATTGTTCAACATGTTGTGCCAATCGGACCCACTTGGGGAATTCGGTGCAGAATTTATATCTAATCTCTAGGTTATACTAACTTCAAAACGTTGTGCCAAATTTCGTGTAAATCGAAAGTTATATAGGGATTTTGGTGTACCATTTACATTAAATCAGACGAAAATATATATGGGAGTTATATCTAAATTTGAACCGCTTTCCCTTATAGGGGACTGTCCGAAAAAATGGACCAAATTTCAGCGAATTTGGTTGAAAAACACGCTCAAGAACTCAAAATTACCAAAAATTGGGCGGTTAGCCTTACATTAAAGCTATGCCTAAACGTGGACCGATAAAGCCCATCTTCGAACATGACCTGCTGACTCTATGCAAATTTTTGGCGATTTATCTCAATTCGTTTAGAGGCTAGAGTGATTACAACAGACAGACTGACATGGTTACAAACGGAAAAACTAAATTAATATACCCTCCATACTATGGTGAAGGGTATAAAAACATGGACCTATATTTTTTGTATGTCAGCCTTTAGGAGCCATTTATACCAAATAGCAGACAAATCGTTGTAAAATACGACTAATATATTAAAAAAAAACGAAAATGTGTCAATGCTGTTATGTGGGACCTGTATCAATCTAATAAACCGATTTGTATAACTGTTGTCATTTGGCACCCCAAATGAACCCGAAAAATCGAGTAATACCCAATTCGGTTGGGTATTCACAATACCAAATATAATGGGTTCCCATTATATGGAGGCTAACCTTAAAAATTGACTTAGGAACATGGCGAGACAGAATTTCTTCCATAAGCCGAACTTAACAAATATTTCCAGACGCCTCGATCTTGGATTCAGTTTTTCCAATTTGAAAGACCGATATATGGGGGATAACCTAAAACTTGTCCAGAAACGGCCAGAATTGACCAACAGGAGAGGTGTCGTGTTTCACCAGGACAACGCTAGGCCACACACGACAACAATAACTGGCCAGAAACTTCGGGAGCTTGGTTGGGAAGTACATAAAGTCCGGACTTGGCACCAAGCGATTATCATATTTTTCTTGCAGTGCAAAATTTCTTTAATGATAAAAAAGGTATCTATGGAGGACTGTGAAAATCGACTGCTGGAGATTTTTTGCAAATAGAGAACAGGACTTCTATGAGAGAGGCATTATGAAGTTACTTTTAAAATGGCAACAAATCATACAACAAAACGGTGCATAAAAATACAATGGACTTCTTTTTCCCCAAGCTAATGTCAAATTACAGCGAATTTGATCAATATCGGTAAAAAAAAGTGTACCGATATTGATAATTGTTCATAGGGCGTTTCATATCAAATAAAATACCAATAAACAGCCATTTCGTTTGAAAAGCGTGTCCAAACTCCCTAAAATACCGGAATTTTG